TTTCTCAGGAGCAAAGTGTTGCTGATTGCCCCAAGAGAGGAAGGACAAGGCTGCGAAGGAAGTCCCAGCTTCACAGGTCCCAGCAGAGATTTGTGCATGAGGAGAGGATTGCATAGTGGTAAAGCCCAGGCTCAGTGCCTGGGTGCCTCTGGGGCTCTTCTGTCCTTCTCCTCTTCTTCCCCTTTTCTAGACTTTTCTTAGCCCACCTGGCCCCCCACCCCTTCTCCGCTCCCTGCTGCATCTTGATTTGTACCCCGACCCCTCGTTGTGCGCTGCTCCTTCCTCAGTGCTTCATAATTTTGTGCCCATCTTTACAACTGAGAGGTGCCTGGGCTTTGGGAGAGAGGCTGTAGCAACCAACCCCTTCCCGCTGAGCTTGGGTCCAGGCTTGGCTTACCCAGGTGGGACACCGAAGGCAGGAGAGGCTGGGCCACTGCTGGCAGTGGGCCCCTGGAAAGCTGCTTGGAGACCTCCCTGGCCTTAGCCAAGGGTCTTGACATTAGTTGTCAGAATCGAGTCTGGTTTCTTTTTCCCTTCTTTTTTTTTTTTTTTTTTTTTTTTCCTTTTTTTTCTTTTTTTTCCTTTTTTTCCTCCTTTTTTCCTCTCTTCCGTTCTCTCTTTTCTGTTGTTCCCCCTTTCCTGTCCCTTCTTTTTTTGTCTTTGCCCAAGGACACAACGTTTACACTTTAGTCTTGCCATTGACTTAAGCGGAATAATTTTGGCTTGTAGGCTTGTCAGCCAGCAGCGTTTCACATATGAGGGCAGGGGTCACATTCCTTTGATCTCGGACAGCGCCCTGTACTGAAACAGCCACATCTGCATGGGTTCGAGCAGGGTTAATGGCAAACGTGGTGTCTCTCGGCGCCTCGAGCTGCTCCCTCCATCCGGCGGAGGTCGTGTTGCGCGGCGCCACGCGTGCAGTTTGTGCTTAGTATCCGCGCGTTTGGCCGAGGAGCTCACTGGCCACTTTAAGGAAATCCTCGAGAGAAGGAGATGTTCTCGTAAGGCGTCTTTCCATGCCTTGGCTGCTAACCCGAGTTGCAACTCTGGCTGGGTTTCTCGTGTTTTCCCTCGCCGGTCTGCGGGAGCAGAGACTCGCCGACCTGCCCTGCGCGGGGAAAGGCTGCGTTTCCCCTTTGCAGCCGTTAAACGGGGCCGCGTGCGCCTATAAAAAAAAATAGGGCGGGAAACAAAAAAAAAAAAAAAAAAAAAAAAACGACAATAGATCGTGCAGGCACCTTGCAGGATGCAAATCTGTCACGAGTGTTTAACCGGCCGGGTTCAAAAGCAGAGGTTTGAGCTAGTGAGCCGCGGGAGCGCTCTGCGGTGAGTGCAGGCGGGCGGCGGAACGGGTGCAAATGGATTGGAAAAGGAGCTGCGCCCCCGATGTGGGGCTGTCACTGGGATATGGTAGTCTGCTTTTTGAGCAAAACGTTGCCTGGTGGTCTTGGCTGCCAAGGCGAGAGAGGCTGGCCCGAGCAAAGATCTGCATGTTGTTGTGCCCGCGCAGTTCACTGCCCCTTTGCTATGAAGATGCTGTTTTCCCGTTTCCTGTGAGTCGCTTTTAGCGTTAGAGGAAGGAGCGGGGATGGAAGTCGTGCCTGACCCAGAACCGCTGGGTCGACCCGTTGGACTTGCCTAGGTTGTGCACGTCCAGCGAGGCGTTTCCCGCCTAGATGGGCCTTGGAGAAGTTCTCCGTTGGCATGTGGAAGACGGGCTCCGGTCCTCAGTCATCTGCCAATCGGAGAAACACCCAAGTCCTGAAATCTTCCTGATGGCGTGTGATTTTTTTTTTTTTTTTTTGCGAGTGCCTGCTTTGTGTATTTCGCAGATCTGGGTTTTTAAGCATCGCGTCTTCCGCCGCAAGGGCTGTGTCGCGCTCACGCTGGGGAGCCCTGCGGCGCGTTGTGATATGACTGGGATCGCTCACGAGCGGCACGGTGGCTAGCAAAGGCACGGTGAGCTTGGAAAGTTTCTCTGACTGGTTTTGCAACCCATTATGACTGGCCACTTTTTGATATTGCGATTTGGCAACGCCACAGAAAGTCCTTTCTGAAAACCTCAGTCTGATTTCACTCTCAACCACGGAACCGTAATATTAATTTCTCGACCGCCAGAGCTTTTATCGTTCGAGGCTCCCGCGGAGGTTCGTAGAAGGGGGGGTGTTGGGTAGGAGACGGAGGGGAAGGGGACTTGCACGGTCCCTGCTTCCCAGCCATCTGCTCGATGCAGGTCACCCTACCCTGACCCGAGCGGGTTTTGCATTTCCAAAGTGTCGCCATCCCATAGCGCGAGGGCTTTGCTGAATGAAATTCAGCAGCTAGCGAGATAAATACAGTTGTGCCTGATAGAGCCTGCCTAGGGTACTGCTCTTTCGCTACTACGGCGTGAAAACAAAACAGCTCTCGGAGCCAAGCAGCGTTCATTTGGCTCAGAAATAAATTTTCCAGTCGGTTTGGAGCCAGACACTTATTTAAATTTTTTTTTTTTTTTTTTTTTTTTACTGTCAGACTAATCCTTTGAATATTTTGAGATTGGAAGCTATTTGTAGTCCCTTGTGACTTCTTTTCAGCTTTCGGGCCAAGTTTGTGAAATGCTCCGTTTTGTGTGTGTGATTGGTGGTGGTGGTGGTGGTTTTTTGTTACGGGCGGTAATGCTTGTTCAAACCCTGAACTTCTGATTGCAACCGGGGGAAGAGGTGGCGCAGGTAACGCGCCGAGCCTTGGACGTGTCACAGGCTGTTTGTTTCTCCCTCAAATGCTTGGGGCGGGGGGATGAACGGTTGTTTTAGCGTTTGTTTAGAAACTTCTTAAAATGGAAACTCAAGTGGTTGGTCATGTACAGTGAAGCCTAACTGATATATTAGTTCTTTTTTTTCTTTCGGGAGCCCAGTTCTGTTTTCTTAGGTCTGGTTTTTCTGTTTACGATCTGGAAGGCAATATTTAAAAGAAGAAAGCTCCAGTTCTTTAACGGAGATGAAAAGTCCTTAAGTTTGCTCTAAGTGCAGCTCCTCTGCATGCAAATCTAGTTGTGGCTTGCTGCTTAGTACAAGAGCAATCATTTTCCTTTCCTTGTTGGCCTTCAACAACTGTTTGGTGAAGAAATGTGAGAATTTGATTAAACTGTCAAGACAGTGGTTTGGTAAGGTTAGAGCAGAAATTGCTGCTGCGCCTGCAAGAAAACAGAACGATTTTACAAAAGAGAGGAAAAGAAGATTTTGCTTGGGAAAGAAATTGGAGGGTAGCATCTTGGCTCTCTTTGGCGTGGTTTCGGAGTTACTACGCTTGCTCGTGATGGCATTTGGGATTTTTTTTTCCATTCGATTAGTTGGCTTTGCACTATCCTGAGGTTTGTAGAGGCGACGACGTAGCCTTAGGAGAGCAAGACTTTGACTTGCAGTTATTTGCGCAGGACTCGCAGGGGCTGGTTTTGCTCTTAGATGTGTCCTGTGCCCACCTACCCTACCGGAGGTGGTATACAGCTTGCGGAATAATCTTTTCCTGATGTTCAGGTTTAGGATTTCAGGCTGTTATACGGGATTTGGAGGCAATCTCTGCCCACATCTCTTGACCACTTCTTCGATCTGAGCAAAACCCCACCAGGGCATGTCTTGGAGCTGCTTCAGCTTGTCGCAGGCTGTTTCAGAGGGGACCAGTGCTTGGGGAAGTGCGAGGGGATGCTCTTAAAGGAAGCTGAATGAAAGCCTGTCCTGCTCTTGCCTTGTGCAGTGAGACGTAAAATACGTGACACTTGAAATGTCTCGTAACAAGGCTCCCAGGTGAAGGGGTGTTTTGTGGCTTTGAGAAAGCTGAGGAAAGTCCTCT